GTATTTATATGCTCGTGCATGTATGTGTGTGTGTATGTATATATATATATATATGTGTTTGCGTATTAATAATATTAATATTAATATTAGTTATTATATAATAATAATATATATATTTTTTTTAAGCAGATAGATGCGAAAAAAACGAATTTTAAATTAAAGGAAAAATATAACTATTATCCTTTAACAAAAATTTCTATATCTTATTAAAGAGAATATTTATATATATTTTCGATTTAAATTCAATATGGTGTCGCGCGCTTTACCACACAGATTTGATGTATTGGAAACTATACAAAGATTCTTTTGTTGATTAAAGAATATATGACATTATCAGTGCTTTAAATGTGTTTTGTACATGTTAAGTTTTTTTTTTCTATTAAAATATCTTTGACTTTATGATAATTAAGTGTTTCTATATATTACATACATTTGTGGTCAGTTACATACACACTGCGGCAGATCATATTAATTAAAATTTACATACGATTATTTACTATCTTCGTCAATTTACAACTCGTAATCAACAACTACAATATGAACGTTGTTCCAGGAACAGCCTCCTTATTAGGAGAACTTGACAGTATGTGTGACTTTTATTGTCTCTATGATTGTTATAGGTTATACCGGCATTTATTACTTTTTAAAATTGCATCAAATCTATTATTTCAAAAAAATAAATTCATTGATCGATGACTTGCTCGAGTTTTAATAATTAGATGATAAATGTTTATTTTGTGTTTACTTTGTACTACCACACGATTACTACACATTCTTAATAGATATTTGTATTTTAATTCTATTCTGTACAAATACATATCTTTTCTGGTTTAGAAAAACTAATGGTTTTACTGAGAGATGGTAGAACATTAATTGGATACCTCAGAAGCGTTGATCAATTTGCTAATATAGTACTTCATCGTACCATTGAAAGAATTCATGTAGGTAAAGAATACGGAGATATTCCAAGAGGTATATTTATTGTCAGAGGAGAGAATGTTGTACTATTAGGAGAAATCGTAAGTAATTATCTTATAAAAATACATATTTGCAAGAGTAGAGGAAAGTTTTATATCTATTTGCAGGATAGGGAAAAAGAAAAAGATTTACCATTGACAGAAGTATCAGTGGATGATATTCTAGATGCGCAAAGAAGAGAACAAGAAATGAAACAAGATCAAAAGCGCTTGATGAACAAGGCTTTGAAAGAGCGCGGTCTTTCATATATTCCAGATTTGGGTCACGATGATATGTTCTGACCCACGTCTACATCTCCGGGCATCACTTTGGAATCATCTCCTACTTCTTCACATAATTCTGACAATTATGATGTGTGTTGTACATCCATGTCCTTTTCTATTAACATTGCAAAGAATATACATGATTTTGAATAACGAAAATGTATTTAGATAAGAATTTTGAAAAATAGGAAAAGGAGGAAGGTTACCATCATAATCTACTACATATATATGTACATTCATGAATTCAATAATTAAATATCACGCATTAGTACTAACTACATCATCGTATGAAATAAAGATAGTATTTATGTCATTTTTAAATATATAATTGATTCTGTAATATTGCTATTGTCATATAAACAGTATTTATTTTTTCTATAATTCTTTATAAAAATGTTAACAAAACAGATATTGAAAATACTCTTGATATAACGGATTAAAAATTTATAAAAAAAAAGAAAGTAAAGATATACATATATAAGCTCTATTGTAAGTTCTTCGACTGTTAGTAAAATAAAATTTAAAAAATGCTTTTCATTGTGGTAGATACTTTACTTTTCAATTCTACAACAAATTTATATATTACATATCTTAGATATAGCATATAAAAAACAGCCACATCATAAATTTTACCCTGATATAAAATTATTATATATATATTTTCTGTGCCCACACAGCCTAGTATAAACATTTTTTAAAGAATAAATTGAAAGAAATATTGAAAAAAATTAGAAGAAACATTTGTAAAATTTCCATGCATCGCCATTAACACTAAAGTATTGATGTTGTCATGGATTCTATGAGATTTCATAATTTCTAAACAAATAAAATTAAAAGTAAGAAATATTCCTGATGATTTACCAGGCTGCTTATTATTTAAAAGAAAACAAAAATATATATATAATATACGATTGACAGTAAAACTTGACTAAAATCACGTTTATATTTCATCAATGCTCATACTGAAATTCACATTAGTCTGTACTTATATTTTAAGTAATCTTCTTATTCCAATTTAAAACGATGTCTCCTGAAATGTATCCTTTACTTTTGTAGAATTTAATCTTGACTCGCTTATCTGTTTGTACTTAAAACTTTGACCACGTTCTGTCTTTAACACGTTTTTATCCTTTATAGATCTTTTTGAGTCATTACGCTGTAAACTAGTTCCTCGTTTTCTTGGAGAAACAATTTCTTCGATTTTCTCTGAAGAGTCATTAGCGCTATTTGCACTACCAGAGGCTATACCAGACGTGTCAGATTCTGGATTGTTTCCATCTAAGCAACGAAGTAAACTACTAGATAGTCCATCTTCATTTAAAATATTTATGTCAGATTCTGATTGCTCAAAATCATCAGTACGTGAAGTAAAACTAAGATCAACAGGACTTGCAGTTAATACGCTTCTCGATAATAAATATTCTCTAAATGTGCTTGTTATAGACATAGAGCTTTGCCGCGTCATGGTACAACATTCGTCTGCATTAGAAGTATCCAAATTTTGCTTTTGACATATTGCTTCTGTAAGATTTTCTTTATCATCTATGTCAACACCTTCCATATAAATAAATTCACCATCTGGACTATCTGGTCTACGTAATTTTTCTAAAATAGAAGAACAGTTCACATGAGTGAACAAATCAATATTTGATCTATGCAAGTTACTGGAAACATTACGTTGTGAACTCTCATTCATACTGGCAAGATCACAAAGATTCGACCCTGATACCATCATAACGGGTTTACGAGAACGTGGAGTCATCATGGTTTCCTGTTATTTCAAAAATCATATTTAATTAATCAATGACAAATACCGTGTATATAGCTTGTATATAGAAGTAAATAACATGCATACCTGCATAGCTTTTGTCATTTTAGTTGCACTTTGTGTGATAGGACTCATGCTTTTGTCATTATTAGTGATAGGTGTCAGTATGTAATCATTAGCAACTAAACTTTTTCGCAAAAGACTTGATGGCGTTGAAGTATGAGCAGCATATACATTCCAAAATCTGTTTTTAACCCTTGGGGATGGATGTGAACATGCATTCTCCATGCATGAATCATATTTTAATGTCACTTCTAAACATTTTGTATCAACATCTGCGATTTTAGGAGTATAATCGACTTCCATATCTTTTCTTCTAGACATTGAAAATACTGGCTCAGAATTTTGTCTAACCAATTCAATGCTATCAATAGTATTTGGTGTAACTTGAGAAGAATACATGTCCGGTGGTTCGCTAGATTGTCTTGACAATCTACTAGTACTAGATAAATTAGTATTTTTGTCTGTATCTTCATCATTAGAAAATTCTTCATGTATAAAGGTACTTCCATCTAATGTCTTATAACTTTCAGAACTATTTACAAATGACTTCTTTAATTTTAATGAAGATTTCTGGTATTTTATTTCTTCAAGTTCTTCATTGGAACGTGTATCGCTAATATTTACAAAACCAATGACTTTTCTTTTACTTTTATAAGTTGTTGCAGTAGGAGCATTAATACTACCAGTACTGTTACTAATATGTTTAGTGCGTACAAGGTTATTAGTATCTGTACCAGAATTTTCTATATTAAATTCATCATCTGATTTAGTGTAACGAGTTTTTTGAAGGAACGGCTTTTCAAGACTCTGTGTAATACATGCAAAGCATATCAATTAATCGCTAATGTGCTTTTATAAATAATAAAATGTAAGAAATGATAGAAAGTATACAAATAAAAATGCAATAAACTATAAATTTTACCGTAGATAATATATTTTCCTCGCTACTAGATCTGGTGATGTTACATCCGATATTGATATCGATAAATTTTTTATTACTCAAAAGTTTTCTTTGAAAAATGTGCTTCTTTATTGAATCTCCAAGACTCTTTGTTCGAATATTTTTTACATGCCTAGGTGTACCTTGACCATTTTCCTTATTAAATTGCTTTACAAGTCTTCGTTTTTTTGCAGACTCTGGCATTGCTTGTATATGAGCATACAGCTGAGCAAGTGCTGCCTGAGTATCTTGAGTAGAATTAGCCTTTGCTGTCAATTTATGATCAACAAAACTAAATACAGTATGCGCCGTGCCTGTGGTGTCTGGTACAGATTCATCCAACTATAATAGAAATGAAATTAATAAATATTTTTATACGTGTAAATTGTTTTTCTCATAATGAAACTTACATCTGATTTTTTAGGACTTAGTAATTTTCTTTCTTGTTCTATCCAATAAGCTCTTATATCAGTTGCTAATTTAGGAGGAATATCAAATAATTCCACACTTTTTTTAATCATAAAAGCCACCAAACATGACAAATTTTGTGAATTTATATGTAATGCTTCAGGTGATAATTTTCTTGGACATAATAAATGAGGAGTAAAAAGAGTAGCGAGACTATCACAGTTCATTTTGTTATTATGTTCAAAAGTTGCAGTCTTATTAAGAAGATTAAGGACACATTTCAATATATGTCTATTTGGAGGTGGTAAAAGCAATAAAAGCAATTGCAAAGATCTAAGTAGCCTAGCTTCATTAGTTTTATCATTCAAATTGCACAATTCTGTAATTGAAATGAGGAATATTATCTTTGGTATCTGTTTCAAATGTATTAAAAAGTGTTACCGTCAATTTAAAACGTCCTATTGAAAAGATTATTTTAATATAATGCTATCTTATGTGATTTGTATTACATCTTACCAGCAATTTGACAGTGAGCTGGAAAATGAAGATCTGTTAAAAGAGGTTCCGATAATTCTGCTAAAAATCCTTTCAAAACGGATGCACAATCATGTACACTAAATCGACCATCTTCAAGATTTAAAGAAACACCTTGGTAAAGTGCATTTTTAAGATCTTGTTGCCGTGTCAATTTTCCGGTACGTCGAAATATTCCCTCTTGTATAATACCTTTAATATCATATTAAAATAGTTATAACATTTGCAGATAGATATTTAGAAATTGCTACTTAATTGTAAGTATTTTATTATCTTTAAAATGCTTATACTTTGCTCTTTGGATAAATATTCTATTAATTGTTTGACTTGATTTATTCCATTCTCAGATAAACTAACACCTTCTAGTTTCTGTAAATTAATAGTAGACTTTGGTTTTCTTGCGAATATACCCCACTTTTTTAATTTGGCCTTCTCAATAATACAGTCATTACTAGAAAGAAATTCATTTTAATTAGAAAATAACACTAATTCATCTTTCATCCGAAATAATGATATATTTGGAAATATACATAATGTGAAAAATGATTAAATTTCCTTGATATAATGCTCATAACTTACTCCTCGGTATTAAGATCCAATTCAAAAGATAAATGCATCTTGACGAGTGTATGAAACTGTTCGGGATTGACTTTTCGCATCCGAAAAGCCAATTTCCCATCAATACCTTCGTTAAAGTCTGCCATTCTCTAACACTAACTTTAAAAACAATTTAAAGAAATTCTGGCATGTTTGAATTAGTATGTGAAATACACGCACGCTCTCAATCAACGTTATTATTCAATCAAAACGGTTACATTCGTCTTGAAACACAATACGTTTTCTTTGATTTAATATCGACGTTACGTACGCGACCATGGTAAATGTACAACGACAATGGAGGATAGACTTCGTATAGTATTATTATTGGTGTATATTTGTAGTAGCTAAATAACTTTCACGTGTATTTATTTTTTAATTATTTGGAAAACCGCGTCGTTTATCTATTATATAGTGAATTCATGGTAACCAATCTAGTTGTATTAATACAAAATATTCCCTATAACAAAGATAAAATATCCCTATGTTTTTTACGATTGCATAACCTCATTAATTTTGATTCGTATGTAACTTCATACTCATCATAGGTATAAACGAGAGATTACAATCACGTGATTAAAAAAAGAAAATACAAGACGTAACCGACCATTGACGTCGAATTCTTTTAAAATTTTGTACCTAAAGAAATATTTCATTTCAATGAGTCATTGTATCTTAGAATTAAATTATGTTCTCTTTTAGGTTATAGTTAAGAAAAGTCGAAATATTATTCATCAAACGATAATACAGAGTAAAAAAGAAATCAAATTGGAGAAAATTAATTGTAAGTCTATTGGAAAGAGTAAGAAATCGGTAAAAAATAATTTCATAATTTGGCGCGAGCGCTATGAGCAGTGTGAAGGTAGCGATAAAAGATAGACACGCGTTACGCGCAGCTGTATCCGACGATTCAACATTTAATAGGGTTTGGATTATTTTAAGAAGACAAATTTTTTAATTCTATCTCGTAATATTGAACATTTGAAGTTGATCGGTTGTACCGAGGAAGGACGTTGCATGTCTGTCGTATGTTCGACAATTTTCAACATACACTATCAGTATAAAAAACATCTGTGTGTATTCCTTAGAACGTGGAAGGGAGAACATGGCCACCGCCTGGTGACGTTCCTTCATTTGCTGCAATATCAAATGCTCCGAAAAACATCTGGTGCACCTTATCTCTGCCATTAACAATTATTTCTTCTTCGACAATCGAACACGATATTCTTCTCTGTGAATAGTACAACGAATGTGATAATGAACATGTGGAAAGTGAGGGAGTTTATGGATAAGGCGTAAGTTGTTGCTAATTTTCTTTTGCACGCGATATAACCTTGCTTTTGCTTCCATTTTTTTTTAACTTTTGCTTTATCTTCTTTTTATTTTTACCTTTTGCCCCATTTTCGATAAGGTATTCAGATTTTTATTCGATACTAATTCATAAACATTGATTATAATTATGCTACGATTATCATTATTCTTGATCACGTGATCTTAAAGAAAATCCTCAAATATTTAGTAAATAATTGAAAAAAAAAAAAAAAAAAAAAAAAAAAAAATTTAATATACGATTGATGGATAATTAATTTTTTTTTTTCTTTCTGTGAAAATTTGTAGAAATTTAACTTATCTGAGAA